TCAGGATTTGTCCTGACATCCTGTGCCTCAGATTGTAGAGCCTTTGTCGGTGTCAGCCATGTGGATGGGTCACGGCCATTGCTTGGCCAATGTGCTCTCTGTGAAAGCCTGAATGTGTTCTCTCCAGGTGACTCTCCTTGGGCACACTCTACATCATCGATCACTTTCCTCTTTGGCCCCATAATCTCCGTGATCAGAAATTTGGGACACTATTGAGTTACATGACTTTACAGTGTAGGTTCTCATGTGTCCTGGGTCTTAATTGACCTTGGAAACCTAGGGCCAAAATGTTGGTTTCCCTTGCAGCCCTCCTTTTTCTCTAGTTTTGGTCTGCAAACTTGGGTTGTTGGCCATCCAGAAGACAAGCCTGTTGTTATTATCGAACAACTTAGACTGTTAAGCTTGACCTCACTGTCTGCATATCGAGCATCTTGGGCATAGTATGGAACAGGTATTTTTCATCGAATGTTGATGTGTTGAACTTTAAGTCCCTATAGAATATGATAAAAAACATTTAAAAATTAGAATATATTTTAAAAATAGGCATAAAGAATTATATACTTCCTATGTTTACACATAAGTCCAAAGATCTCACCATATACAACCTTGAAGTAAGACAGTCCCACATTATTCCTTTTCCTGTCTCTTGCTTGTCTCTTGCTTTCCTTCACCACTCCCTTCTTCTTGAACAACAATCTACCTGAGAGACATCATAGCAGCAACTGTCATGTCATGACAAGCAGCCCATATTCAGAAGACCAGAATGACAGGCACTCCAAGGATGAAACTACTATTACAAATTACCATCTGCAGTGCAGTTGCTTAGTTCACAGGTATCAGTGTATGTGGTTGGTCAGTATGAGAATCTTTCCAATTTACTGCTAGATTAAAAAATCTTCTGGGGATTCTCGGGATCATTGCCTTGCCCATCTTCTGCATATAACTGTATGGCTTGACTTATTCATGTTTCCTGGTTCTTCTCCTTTTCCTCTCTTGGTTGGTTGGTCCTCGAGATCCTGCTTTCCTTTTACTTGTGTTGTACCTTTCTATTTGTGTTTCTCCTTTTGAGTTCTTATACAAGGGAGACTGTATGATGTTGCACATGTGTGTCTGATTTGTTTCACTTGTGAGTGTGTGTTC